CTCATGAACAGCTGGCTTTCCTGGGAACCTTTATCGACGGCCTTACCCGTCGCGGCGTTCTTCCCACTAACCTGTCTCAGCCAATCCTAGATTTTGCGGAACAGGCCAAGAAAGCAGCCGCGGCCGCCGCGGCACTCAATGATGACGACGCAGCATAGCTCGTCGCTTTTAAATATATGCATCCTTCTCCCCCCCCCCGCTCTCCCGTTCCCCACTTTATTCATAAGCCCCGACACCGGTGCTTAGTGGGGACAGCAACACTTGGTGCCTCTGTGCGCGAGGTTTGCCAGCGCCCCTTGTGATTTCCGTACCTGGTCATCTTGGCTTGTCACCATGACTGCGTGTGTCTTCGTCAACAGTGCTTGTGTTGATTTAAGTCGTGTTGTCAGTTACCTTTATCGTTTGTTATTATTATTTTCCCAAAACTTCTTATCACCTTTGCTTCCTTTTTTTTCTCCACTCCGTGTGTGTGCTGAAACAGAGAGAGGCGAAGCTAATTCCGGCTTGTACACCACACCCGTTTGTTTGCATTTTTAGGGAGTCTCACTCCTAACTGCCCCTGTTCCTCCTCCTTCTCAGTCCCTGTAAACGTGTGCACAGCGTCAGTGCGCACGGCAGAGCTGATGTCTACTGTACACACAATAACTCGTTCCTTTCCCCATATGTTTTTGAGCTCTATTTCATGCGTCATTTCTCTATTTATTAAGTTGACCCAATGGTGGAAAATTCGCGGCCCCGGTAGGAGTGGAACTCACACAACAGGGAAGGCTTTTGCGCAGCCTACGGTCTGCTATTGAGCTACGAGACTCACCGTCAATCGTGAATTTAATCACACTCGGATCGATTTTAGCCGCCTGACCTACTGCTCTTGTGAAATCCACCACTACGGAACAGCAAGCTGACTGCCCAGGCAGGATTTCCTAAGCAATCTATCTAGAATCCACCAGAATGACTACTAGGCTCGCTTACTTGTAATGAGGCTTTGGCAGGTTTGATTTAAAAACTTGTTCGCTCGAAGGGGTAGGTGGGGGTAGGGCTTGGGAGCTCGCCTCCCTTCTAAACCGTTTTTGAGATGCCGGCTTCCGAGGACTCGACAATTAAGTAGGTCTCTGACTTCGACTAGACCTGCCTGATAAACACTGCCCGTATAAGTTGGTACTTTTGCAATGAAGAGTCCTATCTGCGATCGATTATCCGCCTGTCGTTGAAGTTCGAGTGGCTGAGTGAATTCTAATGGTGTGGGGAGTAGTTGATGTAGGGAGACAGGAATGACTGACAGAATATAAAATGGTCAGGATATTTTAATCTTAACATCTTCAGGTTCTACGTAGTGTCCTATTATAGCAAATAGTACATGATTGAGCCCCGACAGGGAAGCCCTCAAAGAGTTGCCTATTCCGAAGACTGGTTCATTTCTCGCCAATCTCTCTGCCACTGACGCA